AAAAGGAAAAATTTTATCAAATAGAAATGTATTACAAGGAAACTAAAGCTACTTTTAATGAGAATCATAAATATTCCGTATTAAATGTATTTATTGAAGATATAAACAAAAACATCAAAAAAGGTATTGAAAGAACTAGAAATTCTGAAGACTAACAAAAAGTAAAAGAAGTTATAATTGATATAAAAAATAGTAAAATAAAAGGAAAAGTTATGTTATCGCAAGTTAGAAACGCATTGAATAGTATTAAAACAAAAAAAAGGAGAAGGATACATTATTTGTATCATTATACAATGAGCACTTAAATAATTATAACAATGTAAAATATTTTATGCATGGTTCCGATAATATAATTAATATCAGAGAAGGTCTATTAGGCAAAATATAGTGTTTAATAAATTATTCTAAAAATGAAATTATTAAATTAGAAAAAAAGTATATAATATATTTAATGCACATGTTATTGATAAATCATCTGATAACCAAAGGAAATTTCTAGCTGATATAGGAGAACAAAATGAGAAATTATATGGAAAACAAGTTCTGAAATGATTTCATGTAAAAAATAACTTGAATGAATGTATCTTGAACAATCATAACAATCGTACTGAGTATAAAAATGGATATCGTTCTAAAGCAGGTGGAAACATGACAATGATTTTATATTTAGGAACAGTTATTTGTGTTTAACTATCATTTATGTTAACTCATTAATACCATTTCAGGTTAATCATGGGAATATGTTAGGAAATAAAATTTTAAATATGCCATTTGAGCGTAATAATACATAAAATAAAGATAAAAAAAAAAATCATAAATGATTTCTCTTATATATAATGATGATTCATGAGACAAAATATATTTATTACCATATAATAATAGAAATATAGCATAAAAATTACAAGAAATATGAAAATAATAAAAAAAAATATATTATATATCCACAATACGAAAAACCATGAATCAAAATAATAATTTATCAAATAAAGATATCACAAAAAATATTAAAATTATATACAGGCAAAAATAATTATAAAATAGAAGAAAATATTATATCAATAATATAAGAAAAATATTTTTTTTAGTTACCTAATAAATATAATATGTTAAAATATGTTATTAATATATCATAAGCATAATATATAGAAACAAGAAAGTAAAAAATTATCACAAATAAAAAACCTAATATATAAATGATACTATATTAAATATAATAACAAAACATCAACTAATGCGAATAAGTTAAGAATAATATATATGCCAGAATATATAAATAAACCCTTCAAATATATAATAAACCATGTAAACATAAGCATAGTTAATAAACACGAATCATAAAACACCAAAATCCTAAAACCTAAACCAAAAATCCAAACATATAAACCATAATCCCTGATGCCTAACACTCGAACGCATAAACCTGAAAATTGAACCATAAACTCCTAGACGTAAAAAAATTAAACATAAATCTATAATAATACGTAATTATAAATACATGAACATAAAAGTAAATCCCGAAACCTAAAACTGTAAAGTGAACTCTGAATCCATAACCCCCCAAACCTGAAACCATTAACTCTAAATCTACAATTATACCTGATCTAAAAACTTTGCGATAAACCCGAAACCTTGAACCCTAAAACACAAAAATAAGAAAAAAAATTTAATTGATGATCCTTAGGTATAAATTCAAATATAGCATAATAATTCACTGAAATAATATTTTGTTAAATTGACATATTATTATTTTATATTGTATATGAATTTTTTTTTTCACATAATCTTTTGATAGAAAAATTCTGAAAATATTTTGATTTCATTATTCTATATGAGCTTATAAAAATAATTTTAATGAAATACATAATTAATTTTCAATATAATGGGAATTATATAAGACATTATAATTATTATTCCAATGAATTTTTTTATATATTTCTGAGATTTCCGATTTACTCCATTCTTTTTTGAGATCAAGACACTTATTTTTTATCTTTTTTATTCCAAGATGTAAGCATGAATTATATGGAAGGAACTAATTTGTAAAGGAAAATATTTTGTATTAAAAATATATTAATATTATAATTTGTTTTTCTTTTATTTTAAATATTATTATACAATTATATATATCAACATAACATTTAACCTTATAAATTATAAATAATAAAGCAGGTATTATTAGTATTAGATACGATGATATTATAGCAGTTTTTGATGTATTAATATGAGCAGATGGTATTATTATATTTTCAAAAATTTCACAAGGTAATGCTTTGCATTTAATTTTATCACATGATTGTGATATATCCAATACATTGTATTCATTTTTATAACTTTCTAATATTTCACAAAAATCTTTATACCCATTATTCTCACATATGTTATGTCCGCGCATGTATATATCAGCACATTCATCTGCACAATCACATCTACTTTTATTTTCACAAAATGTAAAAGTATTATATTTTATATCATTAAGTTTATTGCTCATATCACATATATCAGTTATTATTTCCAATTCCTTATCAAATATGACATCTAGAAAAGAATCTACTAAGTATGTAAAATATCCACCAACTTTGTACACTCTAATTATTTCCTTATAGAAATCTTTGATGTAATTACTATGTTTCTTGGCTTTTAAGTGATTCTTGTATATCCAATAATAAAGGTATTTAAAGTGATTTTTATCGGGGACTTTATGAATATCGCTTAATATATTATATAAATATTTCATCGCTTGAGTGCATAAATTGACTTTTTCCTTTATATTAACAGTATTGAATTTTTTATCAAACGTCAGACAAATTTTATTCCAAAGTTCCTCATAATGAACCGTACTATTTTTATCCATAATTCCTTGGTATTCCGGAAAAGCAGTAAATAATGAATTAAACTAAAAAAATATATATACCACTATTTAAATAAATACATTAATCTAAGAATTATTTTATATTAAATATATACAAATGGGAATTTTAAAGAATTTTAATATGGTAATGTTCATAACAAGAATTAAGAATTACATGTTCTTTACGCCCATTTGATGACATTATACTATATAAGCGTTGAAAAAATATACGATAATAAAATATATTGGCACATAAATATTCACATTCAAATTAAGAAAAATAATGCATGTAAATATGTGCTTTGTTATATTTTTTATTTTCGTACAAATCTTTAATTAATTAGAGTTCTCATCAATTACATTTCAATATAAACAATAATAGTAATAATTTTTGAAAAACAATACATTTTATATGTATAGTAATAAGAAAAAATTATATAAATATATTATAAAAAAAATTTGTCACTGGCAAATAAAATATATTACAAAAGGATAAGGTTTTTTATAATTATTATATAATTTATTTATCACATATATAAAAAAAATTATATAATGCTAATAAATCACATTACCTTTAATATATAGATACGTAATTTTCTTTTTTTATATATCTAATATCATAAAATATATAATTCAATAGGAAAAATAGGAAATTCAGTTATAATAAGCTTACTTGAATTGGTATTTATTTCATTCACATATATAAGAAATTAAGATAATCTTATTATATAATATATTTAATAAAAAAGAATAACACATATATGAGACATCCGTTGGGGGTGTAGAGTTCATGGATTTTATTAAAGGGATTCTATTTTCCTATTGGTTCATTTACAGGATGTATTAATTTTTATAAGCATGTATTTTTTATAAATATTATATTTAATGTTTTACAATATATTATTCTCATGTTAATATATTTAAAATAGTGAATTTTTTTTATTTTTATCGATGTATAATTTTATAATTTTATTAATATTTGATATGAATATGATAAATAAATTTTTTTTTGTTTTTATTATTCATAACATATTCTTATATTTTTTTTGAGGTCTTATATTTTTATAGGATATATTATTAGTTTTATGATTTCAGATAATATTATTATACTATAAAGCTTATATATATTAATTTTTTTTATACCAAAAGTTATTTGATATATATAGGAAATGTTTATATTAGTTTTCATTTTTTATACCTTATTAATACTGGTATATTTTATATATATATAATCATTTCATATTTACAGAATATATTAATCTTTTTTTTTATTGAATATTAAATGACAATTATAATTTTGTATAATATATGAATTCAATGAAAGAATTTACATTTATTGTGCATTAATTATAATCTTATATTTTTCTAAGAATTTGTATGAGGAAAAGTACATATTTAATGGTATTATAATATTATTACAATTATGCTATTTTTATATATGTTATATATTATGCATGTACTCATTTTCATGCATTTTTTTTATACGATTTATGTTATTATATTTTGCATTAGGCTTATGCAACAGTATTAATAAATTTAAATAAATCCTCATTCATAAGATTGTACTATATATATATATATATGTATATGTTAAATTATCATTTCATATTATAAAACTATATAATTTTTTTTCTTGGTTTTTTTGAACGTATAATATTCTTAATATTTAATTTTTATACTAATTTTTAATTTTTTTTTCTAGTTATTATTTAGAAAACATATATATGCATATTATTTACAAACAACAATTAGAATAGAATAATGCTACTTAACTATTTTAATTTATATTTAGTTCATATTGAACACATAATTACAATCATTAAAATTTAAAGTTATCATAGAATAATATTAATATAAAATATTACATTATCCCTTAATGTGCGTCCAAGATATTTGTTATATTTAATATTTTTTTATTTATGTTATATATTTCTTAAATAATATTTGTTTTGTGAACAAGATATTAACATTTTTAAGTATAACATTACGGAATAGTTACTAAGTGTCAACAATTAATCCAATAACTATCATTTCAAATACACGATGCTTAAGCACTTCATATATATAAAGAATGAAAAAATAATTATATATGGAATGGATAAATATTTTATTGTATGTTAGTATCAATTGAAACTATTATTAAAATGAATATAATATATATAAATAATGTTCTAAGAATTTTATTTATTTTTTTCAAATACATTTATTTGAAAAATTAAGATCCTAAATAAACATTTTCTCTAAATTAAAATAATACGTAAATATGATTAGATTACATAATTCAAGAGTAGTTCAAATTCATGAGCAAATATATAGATTTTATGATTTACGTCTTTTATAATAAAATTATTTATAATATGCCACATAATTTTTTTTTAATATATATATAAACCTTTATGTAAATTTAAAATTATTTGCGGGTTCTATAATTCTACAAATAATTATTAAAAATATATCGTAAAAAACTTGAATTATTATTAATATTCTCCATTAACAAACAATGATAAATGGATAATAAATATATTTTTACAGAAGTGTAAACTTATTTATATAAATATTTTTCACACTATTAATTCTCCTAGATAAAAATATTAAATAATAAAAATAAATAATTAAATTAAAAAATTATAATTATGTATTAGTTTGCATTTATTTTATCCCTTATATAATAATGATTTCCCGCTTATATTTGATTTGCTCATATTAATATTAATGAAAAATACATACTTTTTAAGATATAATTTATTAAATATTCGTTGCTCAAGTATGCTGAAAAGGATATTTAAAATTAAGGTTTTTGTCTTATAATTCAAAAAAAATACATATTCAGGTTTTTGCAATATAATAAGAAGTAAAATATCAGAGTACATAATTATAATTCAAAAAAAATATATAGAAACATATCATACGTTTTATCTAACGTTCTAATTATTTCGCACATATAAGAACACATAAAAAGGTATAATTATGTATATCGAATATTAACATAATATAAGATAAACAAAAATAGCAAAAATCTTTATATTCCTTTGTTATATAAGATATAATACATATTATAACAAATAACAATATACCAAAAAAGCATGATGTCATTAAAAATAAATATTCTATTTAAGAAATAAATTCTGTATAAAAAGTGATAACTTCACTATCAAAGTTAATTAAGTGCATTATAAAAGCAATTATAATATAAACGTGCATAGTGTACATAGATATACAACTATTACATTTCATAACACTTCACCAAAACTAATATAAGTGAAAAGCAATAAATATTAAATTATTGAATTTCCTTAAAATTCAGTGTTTAGGATATTTGTTTCCAGTTTTAGTTATATAGATAAGAGTTTCCAGTTTAGTATATATGATGAAGGTTTTCCTGTTTACCTTTTATTGTTTAGAATACAATATTTATAGTATACCTTTTAGAATTTAGGGTTCTGACTATATTTTTCATAATTTTAAATTTCGTGTTAAATTATTATGGTTTACTGATTCAGTTTTAGTTGTAAGTTTTTTTTATTTTATATATTGATTTTCGATATATTATTACTTCCTCATTTTTTTTACTTTATTAGTTTTTCATAATAGACCTTTTTATAATATTATTATTATATTTAATCACATAGTGGCAATTATATTTTGAGAATATTTTTAAATAATTATAATTTATATATTGTACACTCATATTATAGAATTATGATTGAGTTTATTTGTAATTTGTATTTTTTATGACATCCTTATATATGAAATTATTTTATTCGTGTACTTTTCATATTGTTGTACTTTTTGAAAATGTTTCACGATTATAATCTTATATTATGCAATTTATAATCATTATTTGTATATGATATGCGCAAATATTAATTTTTGTTTAAAAAAAATTCGACCTGTCTTAACAAGCTTGTATGATATATTTTTTATTGTACATATTAAAAGCATTAATTCCATTGTGTTTTTTATTTAAAGTATCATCTCCTATCGTTTTATCATTATTCTATTTGAATGTAATCAAAAGGATATCATAACAAATAGATAATCCTCAAATAATTGTTCCTGCATTTCATAAACTGGTCATTTCCCCTCCTGAATTATAATTGTATCATTCTTATTCACAGTTCAAGTGTTATGATCGTTGAAATCACTTTCACCCGAATATTATGTTCGTATCATAATTTTGAACTTATTCTCCATATAATTTCACTTTTGGTTCTTCTATGTTAAGTAGTAATTACTTTTGACTATCTGATAAACTATCAATAAAAGGTGCACTTAATATATTACATTTATTTTTCTCTAATTTAATAATTTCATTTTCAGTATAATTTATCAAACATGATTATTTTATTAATTGATCTATTATGATATTAATTATATTATATAAATAATCCATAAAATGTTGAGTAAATTTATAGTTATTTACATACTCCTTGGATAATCATATAAATTATATATATATCTATTTTTTTTTCGCTTTATTTCCTTGTAAGACGTTAATAACTGGGGTAATTTATCTTTTGTTTTTGTGTGTTAATTCTTAATATCAATTATTCCTTACATTATTATCTTGACGTCTTTATAATTTGGTGTTCCTACAATTTTCAAGCATTATTTTTGTACGTATATAATAATGTGAATTTTTTTTAACAGTAAAATTTATTTATATCTAAAATTAACAGTGATCTCATTGACATAATTATATTAGTATATATATAAATACTCATAATAAAACATGATACTGCTGAACCTAAAAGAAATATCATAAATTCTGTGTTAATGGCTTATATATTACATTATAAATTTCTATGATTAGACTATATATTTTATGCATACATAAATTTT